GGATACGCGAGTCCTCCTGCATCAATCGAACCATGTGCACCGCAAAGTCCGTGCCACGTCCTCTGATACCTCCACACTGTGACTCAGGGGCAAAATCATCTAGAAAAGGCTGAAGACGTCCAGCAACAAGGGCATGAGCACGCTTGCCTACCTGCGGACCTATGGCCACATACCTGCTGGAGACACACTTGTTAGGCGCACCCCGACCCTTGTACAAGTCTGCTAGCCTCGAGCTTTTCCATTGTAGAGGTTCATGTAGACACAACATGTACTTCATCACTAGGGGGAAGTAGAGTCGTGCACATTCCTTGGCACACGTTTTGAGTAGAGCCCCTGGGACACAATCAAGACCGTTGGCACAGGCGCTGGAGGTCTTCAGCATCTGCTGTTCAAACATGGCAAGTGTCGGTAAACTCTGTGCAGCAGGCAAGTCCAACGAAGCAAGCGGCGCACGTGATTCTCCTACGGACTGCAGCAGATCGTGGGCGGGTATCCGAAAGCCAAGCTCCTGTTCAGCAAAGTGTTCCAGCCATCGCTCACGGCAGGCCGTGGGCGTCAGGGCTGGCGTCTCATCCTTCAAGAGTACCTGAGCTGACTGACTAGCGGGCCTCTTCTTCGTAGAACCTATACCCAAGGATCTAAGCTGCCCGCGCGCTTTCCTGAACTCCTTCTGGAGAAACGAGCTAGAGACATCCCTAGACACCTGCTCCATCTTGTCGGCCCTGTCCATGTCACACGACCAGCTAATGAGCCGCGAAGTCAGAAAGGTAATGTTGCTAGACATGGCCTTCATCAGCCCACACCAGCGTCTATACAAGCTCAGCTGCTCCCGAGGACACGGTAAATCACTGTTGACCGAGGGGAGGCGAGCGAGAGAAATACACATTGTCATCAGATATTCCCAGTCAGGTATCCTCGCAAAGCGCTGACCTTCAGGTAGGTGGCACCTGGCAGCACTTTGAAGCACCTGCAGATGTTCATGGTAGTCCTCTAAGAGCCTCCAGAGTTGCTGACGGAATCGTAGACCATTGATCTGATTGGACCCACTGCGGATCCTAAGACGCCCCCATATCCCCATGTGCCCAAGATGTCCCATAGAAGCCCATGTTTGGAATACAACCTGCAGGAGGACCTTTGGAGCCTTTCGTTGCCAACCACGGTGAAGGGCACGAAGATACTTACGCAACTCTATGAGTTCGAGGGTCCTTTCACTGACCCAGTCCTGCCGGTGGGGGTCCTCGGGGATCAGGTGTTCCTTGGCAAAGGCAACGAGGTGGGCATCCACGCGTGCACAGTGCGCTGTCGCTGACTCGTTCCAGTCAGGCACTTGAAACTGAGCCGCATGCCGAGCAAATGCCTCTCGGATCGCTGGATCACGGGGACGCTCTGGCTGAACTCGCAGCAGCGGCCATCTGTACTGAGACTGCGCAAGAGAGCCAGACGGAACACCAACTTCAACAAAGGTAGGGCTGTGGTCCTCCACAGCGTTGGCGAGGTCGACCTCTCGATCCACTCTTGCACACGACACTAGCGAAAACCATTCTTGAGGAAGTAATACATAGTCCAACCTCTTACAGGTCTTACCATCAGTGTGTGCATGTGTGTTGTGTGTGTCGTCGATCGGGGCAGGCAGGAAGGTAGAGGGAGCAACCACTTGAAACCTATGGCACAAGCTTCGCATACACTTACCCGAGAAATTCTCCTCCACAGCCTCTACATCCCCAATCTGTGCCGAGCAGTGGGAGCCAACTTCAGCATTAGCGTCCAACATGAATACAGGCTGCACTCCTGGTACTAGGTACTGGCTCACTAGCCTCTGCGTGTCAATCCACCACTTCTCAACTGAGCAAACATCCTTGCGAGCACAGTGCGGGGCGTGAGCAGCAACAAGCAATAGATGCAGGCCAGGCACATGAAAACGCAATAGGAGCCGACTCGTATCAGCATAGAGCTGGGCAACGTGATGTCGGCCGGGCTTGATACCTTTCACAGGCAACTCACAGTTGATCCAGATAGCTACTCCATCAGCGCCATTCTCAGCACACTTGGAGTAGTACATCATGTAGTCCCCGACCCTCTTAGGCAAAACCGTCTGTAATCGCGTCTCCAGGACCCCTAGGAAGTGATATTTAGCAGCAGAAAACTGACGAGCAAGGGCCGTGATTCTCCCGGGGGCATTCAGGCCGATAACCTTCAAGAGACGAGCCCCTTGGGGGGCTCTCCGCTGGGACCCTTTATACTTGCTGTTACCTTGGAGCGTTAAGACGTTAGCCACCCCAAACTTGTATTGCTCTACCTTGTTCGAGGGGGCCTCATCAAGGATGGTCTGGACCCCGATAACCTCCTGGACCTGGAAACCCTCCGAGAGCACCTCACCGACCCGCAAGGTGTTAGTACCTATGATGTTCGGAAGGTCCGCGGAGCGGTCGGAATACATCCAAGCCCAAGCCAGAGCAGAGGCGTCAAAGAGCAGAGATGCAAAGGGCATATACTCCATGCCTGGCAGCAGTCCCATACCTGTGAGACGCGCCAGAGTATCTGCGAGCTCGTTATATCCTTCCCCTTGGTGGCTATGCACATGTTGTCCCTGGATGGTACAGGTAGCAGCCAGAAACTGGACCAGGGACCGAAGAAACATCAAACCAGAGTTGGTGACCTCGAAGGTTTGGGTGCCCATCAAAACTCCGAGCGTACGCATAGAGTCGAGTCTGAGCACAACTGGTACTGTCCCCAGGTTCGCCTGGGCAATCCATGCCAATGCCCATGCAGCAGCAAGAATCTCAGCAGTGTCAGAGTGGTAGGAAGACGGGAAGAGATCCATCACATCTTCTGGGACCAGATCAGATATATATCCTCGAAGGGCCCTGGGACCATCAAAGTACTCATAGATAATCGCCGCAGCCGACGCAGGAACAAACGATATGTCAGATCCATCGGCTCCTCCAGTGCCATCGGTATAGACGAGGACACGGGTGGGGGGAAGGAGGGGGAGGAACGGCACATGCTGCTGTAGCACCGCGGAGGTAGCTGGATGCAGGTAGGCTGACAGAGCCTCTTCACACAGCTGATGCATTGAAAAAGGCCAGGGCAGAAGGAGCTGCTCGACAGCAGCAGGCACAGAATGAAAAGGAAAGTCACGGCTACTCATGGGCGGCCGCTGGTCAGAGGGGCCTCTCTCGTCGGGTGGGGGGTCATCCCGACGGAGGCCCACTCGGCGAGCAGCGGCCGCTAGACGTTTCCCGTCGTCACACCACGAGGAGCTGAGCGTGACTGGGAGCGATGGGCTGCCCTCCCGCGGCTGGCCGCACGGCTGGGCGAGCGCCTCGGCGAGCGCGAGCCAGCCTCTGCGCGGCCCGCGCGTGCCTCGGGCTCCTCGGTGATAGGCGTCGCTGGAGCCGCACGCGCTGCATCTGCCCCAGCAGCCTCGGCGACCATGCGGCCAGGCGGCCCAGGCGGCTGTCCATGCACTCCTGGAGCTCCTCCCATGCCGTCCACGGGGGCCGTTGCAGACGTCCTGCCCGCCGCCTCGGGAGCCCCAGCAGGCCCCGTCGAGAAGGTCACGTGGGCGGTCGGCACGGGGATGTTCTGACCTCCTCCAGCCGACAACTGCATCTGGTGGATGAGGGACTGGAAACCCTGCAGCTGGGCCATCATCGCCGAGATCTGCGTCTGGTGAGCGGCCAACGCTCCGATCGTGGACATGGGCGCACCAGCTGGGACTGCACCAGCCACACCACCTGCCACACCCGCCGGCGTAGTTCCAGCAGCAGGCGTCGCTGCGGGAGCTGGCTCGGCAGCCCTCTTGGCAGCCTCCTTGGCAGCCTCGTTCTCGGACTGGATCAGGGTCTTCAGCTCGGCAATCGTCTTGGTCATGTGCTCGAGGTCGCGCTTGGCCAGGTCGACGTCCATGGTGGCCTGCTTCACCTGTGTCTGCAAGTCCTCCAGCACGTCGTTCGCCTTCTGTAGGCGCTTCTCGGCACGCTCGAAGGCTTCCTCCTGCTTCTGGAGCTGGGCCTTCACTCCTCTCGCACAGAACAACATTGTCAGCGTGGTCGCAAACTCGAGCACAGCATCGTCGTAGTCCTCGCCCGCGTCGTAGCGGTCGAGGATGATAGCATTCAGGGCCTCCAGTCTGGCTGAGGCCTTCTCCTTGTAGTTCTCGACCTCGGCGTCTGTCGCCTGCGGTCCAGGCGGCGTCCTCCACCTGGGATGCCCACGTGCCACCTGCGGCAGCGCGGGTCGGATGTGCAGGATCTCCTTCGCCGAGCGGTACTCGTCGGAGGCCTTGTCCTCGTCCTCGTCCTTGGCCTTGTCCTTGTCCTTGTCCGTCGGCGGTGCATCTCGCAGTGCGTGAGGCTTGCCAGCGGACTTGTCCCTGCCCTTGCCTCTGCCCTTGCCCCGCGTCCCATCCTGCGACGGGGGGGCACTGCCAGAGCGCCTCGGCTGGCGGCGCCACGGCGGGGCATCGGGCTTGGGCGAACCACGCTGGCGACAATCCACACGCTCGTGCCAGTTCTTGCAGGAACAAGTAGAACAGGGCCAGGGAGAAGCAGGCGGCGCCCATGTGACGGACAGGGCAGCCTTGGTCATGTCGACGAGTCGTCCTTGTTGGCCACTGTGATGTCGTTGTAGAAGTCGTCGCGCCGCCTCCAGGCGGAGGAGGACGCGAGCACGTGAGCGGTCCGCTCGGGCACGCCTGTGCCACGCAGGCTCAGAGGCCCTGCGTGCGTGACGTTGGCGGCCAGCACGGCCACGGGGCAGCGCTATGGCGGCTGCGAACAAGCGGCGCGTATAGCAACAGTCCCAGAGGTGAGGGGCGCGGCTACCTGGTAGCCTCCCAGGGCCCCTCGAGCCGGGACGGCGGCTGGAGGAGGAGGAGGAGGAGGAGGAGGAGAGAAGGAGGAGGAGGAGGAGGAGGAGGAGGAGGAGGAGGAGGAGGGGAGAAGGAGGAGGAGGGAGGAGGAGGAAGAGGAGGAGGAGGAGGAAGGGCTCGTGCGCGCCTGGAAGCCGTGAAGCCAGGCGGGGTCGATGCCGTCTGCCGCGGCCCGCTCCCGGAGCTCCTCGGGCCCGCGGTGGGAGCTCCAGCGCGGCCATGGGGCGGACGGGTCGGTGATCCGAATGGCGTGGAGGGGGTATCAAAGCGCTTCAATGGAGGAGGAGGAGGAGGAGGAGGAGGAGGAGGAGGAGGAGGAGGAGGAGGAGGAGGAGGAGGAGGAGGAGGAGGAGGAGGAGGAGGAGGAGGAGGAGGAGGAGGAGGAGGATTAGGAGGAGGAGGAGGAGGAGGAGGAGGAGGAGGAGGAGGAGGAGGAGGAGGAGGAGGAGGAGGAGGAGGAGGAGGAGTGAGACAAAAGAGGAATCTCAGCATGAAGAGCAGGCGAAGCGAAGCGGACCAGCGAAGCTGCAGGTGACTCGCTAGCACCAGGCTGAAAAAAAAAGGGGCATATAATATGGTATCCCAGCTGAAGATGGGGCCATCTGCAGGAAGCGTGCCGCCGCCTCCAGTCGGCAACCTCTCGGTCCAAGGCACGGCGACGAGAACTCAAGATATGGCACGGACGAGAGCGTGCCACTTCCGCGACCCCGAGAGGTTGCGGACGGCGCGCGCCCCACCCTCGCGGGGGCGGCCCAACGCCCTAGAACCTCAGACGCGGGATCAACGGCAGGCTAAGGCCCTAAAAGGGGCCAAGGCGGGCCACGCAGCATCCCGACGTGAACACAACGACCAGGAACGTGCATCGCGGGGTGGCAGCCACAACATCTGTGGGAGTGCCATGCAGGCCGAGCATTGCGAGACGAGCACTGACAAACCACACATGCTCAGGCAATCACACAGCCGATGCTACTACAGGCGACCCTATTTTTGATGACGTTTTGCCTTGCTCCTGCTACTGTGGTTGGCCTGGGGCTGCATGCCAAAGCCTGCCGCGCCAACTGCACTCTTGGTGTACTTACTTGGAGGGCGAATCGTGGCAACTTCGCGGACCACATCGGCAACGATGCTAGTGGCTGGGGCCCAGCAAGTGCTATGCTTGACCATCAAAATTCCGACGGCGTCGCGAGAAAGCCCTGGTTGAGGAAGTCGGCTAATTTTTCGACGTCGTCGGACTCGTTGCGCAACCCCTGGAGGATGCTGCCCACATCCGCGGATAGGTGAACATTGAACAACTCATTGAACAACTTCTCGGGCGTGCTGGTCGGCAGAACGCCCCTCGTTTCATCCGCGGGTTCTTGCAGGGCTTCATCATCAAAATCATCGCCCATCTGGGTCAGCTTGTAGATGGCGTCGGTGGCCTCCCGCAGCACGACTGGCATGGAATTCGAACCTAGGACCGAAGAATTATCGGCGCTGCCACCACCATGCGCGTCCAAGATTGGGTCGGCCTTCTCGACCTCCTTCAAGTCGTGGACCTCCTTGAACGTATCGGTAGCCAGCGCGCCCTTCTCGTCCTCTGTGGGCCCTGGCATGCATGTCCTCGCCCATCCCGTTGGTAACTTTGAGCGGAACAGCTGCGAGAGGCTCTGAATACGAGTCCGAGACACATTCGGTGCTACCACCACCCTCTGCGTCCAAGATCCGATCGCCCGTTTGGACCTCCTGCAGGTCGTAGGCCTCCTTGAAAGTGGCGGTCGCCAGCACTCCGTTCGTGTCCTCCGCGGACTCCTGGAGGACACCATCTAAGTTCACGCCCAACTTGGCCAGCTTGCAGATGGCATCAATGTCCTTCTGCGGAACATCTAGGATGGACTTCGAATGTATGTTCGACGTGCTTTCGGTGCTGCTACGATCGTCCCCGTAGCTCTTCTCAGCCGCAAGCTGGGCGTAGGCCATCAACTTGTGCTTCATGAGCTGCTCGGACAAACGCTCCAACTTGTTGACCTTCTAGCCCAACTCTGAAAGATTCTCGGTGCTGACGTCAACCGTCACCTTGCTGACCTTCTCGCCCGGGCCCGACAAGTCCTCGGTGCTGCTGTCTGTCGCCTGGGGCTGGGGCGCCTCGCAATACCGAGCCTCGCCAGCAAGCCCCTCGGCCGCCGACGCTGAGGCCTCAGCCGTGGCTTCGGACTCCGACAGCGAGTTGGCATGTCCGCGCACGAGCTTGGACATGACGCTGGTAGTCAGACTTGGCCTGGGGTGGGCCAAGGCGCGGCGACCAGCCCTAAAGCCAGCCCAATCATTGGTCAATGAATCCTCTCCGATGGCCCGGAGCGCGTAGCGAAACCTTCAGCTTCAGAAATCGCTTTGCGCTCGAGGCCCAAGGTCTCGCCTGCACCATGCAGCACGACCTCGAAGTCGGAAAACACCGCGTCGGTGCCTCCCGGTGGCAACAGCTTGACGAAAGAGATGTTCCTGTAGAGCACGCCGCATAGGAACCGCAATGATGGCCTCGAGCAGTGGAGCAAAGGCGGCCTTCTGCACCGCATGGTCTGCAGACGCAGGCTTGCGCAGGAGAGGACAACCTGAAATCTCAGGACATATCGTATAAGACTGCGGTTAGCGACCAGGCAAAGTCTTGAGGTAAGATGGCTTGAGCCCAAATGGCTACGGATCAGCATGAGGAGGAGGGGGAACGGCAGGCCGAAGAGGAGGATGATGAGGAGGACCAATGTAAACCAAGACTCATCGACGATATTGAAATACACCCTCCCTTCACATTCCCTCTTCATAGGCTCCTAGACGGATTCAGTTTCATTGAAGGACATGCCCCGTTGGAAGACATCCGTTTGAAAATCCAGAATTGTGCCAGAAGGTCATTCCTGGGACTTCAACGCCGCGAATCACCATTCCAATTGCGTCTTTTTGACGACCCCGAATCGTGCCAGAACGCGCCATGCCTGGGACTTCAACACCACGAATCAATGACGGTTGCGCGCTGACAGTCCGACACCGTGCCAAAATACATTCCTGGGACGTAACCGTGATAAACCTTGGAACTGCTGCAAACTCTAAAGACGAATGAACGCGGCGCTACCGCGAGAGCAACATGTTGAAACTGAGCCGCCCTCCACCAGTGAAGCTCTTGCAAGCTTGTGAGACGAATGTGCGCGGCGCCCAAGCGAGAATCACATTTTGAAAAGAAACCGCTCTTCATTCGTTAAGCTCTTGCAGACTTTTGAAACGAATGTGCGCGGAGCTAGAACGAGAACCACATTTTGAAAAGGACCCGCCATCCACCCATCGAGCTCCTGCAAGCTTTTAAGACGAACGTGCGCAACGCTAGAGCGAGCGAGAGTCACATTTCGACGACGGACCGACCGCCCTCCATCCGTGCAGCTCGTACATTTTTCCACATGAATGTGGGCGACGCTACAACGAGAAAAACTCCCCCTCCCTTCTGCTTTCGCAGAAGCCCCCCCATCCCCCTGCCCTCTCGGAAGGCCCGCCGCGCCCCCCTCGCGCCCCCCCTGAGGGCCAACGATAAGGAGGGTGACCAGCTCAAGCTGGGGAACCTCGAGCAGTAGGAGGAGGAGGAGGAGGAGGAGGAGGAGGAGGAGGAGGAGGAGGAGGAGGAGGAGGAGGAGGAGGGAGGAGGGGGAGAGGGAGGAGGTGGAGGAGGAGGAGGAGGAGGTGGAGGAAGAGGAGGAGGAGAGGAAGAGGAGGGAGGAGGAGGAGGAGGAGGAGGAGGAGGAGGAGGAGGAGGAGGGGGAAGAGGAGGAGGGAACCTCGAGCTGGGGACTCGGCTGTGCATCTCCGAATGGGCGATGAACGGGTAATTGGGGGTCGATGCGTCCCCCCTTGAGCCTATCCCCCCGCATCCCAGACCCCCGACGTCATGATTTTGTCATGACGTCGACCCCCACAAGTCTCGACCTACTCCCTGGTACCGGTTTCTCACCCTGGGCCGTTATTGGACGGTCTCGAGCCCCGATGAGGGAACCCAGACACCGAAAATGGCGAAAACTGCCCCCTCGTGGAGGAAAAATGGGAGGAGGCGGAGGCGACCAGGAGGGAGGAGGAGAAGGAGGAGGAGGAGGAGGAGGAGGAGGAGGAGGAGGAGGAGAGGAGGAGGAGGAGGAGGAGGAGGAGGAGAGGAGGAGGAGGAGGAGGAGGAGGAGGAGGAGGAGGAGGAGGAGAAGGAGGAGGAGGAGGAGGAGGAGGAGGAGGAGGAGGAGTATGAAACGGCCAGGAGGGGGCGACCAGGAGGGAGGAGGAGGAGGAGGAGGAGGAGGAGGAGGAGGAGGAGGAGGAGGAGGAAATGGCCAGGAGGGGGCGACCAGGAGGGAAGAGGGAGGAGGCGGAGGGGGTCTGGGATCGCAGCCCCTGGCTCGTGCGCGCAGCCAGCGGGGCCCCTCCGCGGGCTCCCTCGCAGCCCCCCCCGCTCGTGGGCGCGAACAACGGGGGGGCGACAAGTGGGCGGGGGGGGACGAAAGGCTCCCTTCTCTCGGGCCCTGGAGGCCCCCGTCTGGGCCTCCAAGGGCCCCCTGTAGGAGCCCTCAAGGGCCTCTTTTCGGCAGCCTTCGCTGCCGCCTCCCCCCCCTCATCGCCCCCTCCTTCCATTCGCGCCCAGCGCCCAGACGCGCTCGCGGCTCCGGCGACTCGGCGCACCAGCTGCGCAGAGCGCCGAGGGCCCTGCCTCGCGCCTGGCGCGCACGCGGCAGGCGATCGGAGGCGGGGCCGCCCAGAGCGGTCAGCAGTAGGTCGAGGAGAGAGGACGCACGACGACGACGACGACGACGACGACAACGTCGACGTCGACGTCGACGTCGACGTCGACGTCGACGTCGACGTCGTCGACGACGACGACGACGACGACGACGACGACGACGACGACGACGACGACGACGACGACGACGACGACGACTACGGGAAGGCGACGACGACGAGGACGACGACGACAGCGACGACGACGAAACGACAGCGGCGGCGCCGACGGCGAAGACAACAACGACGACGAGGACACGCCAATGACGACGACGACGATGCCGACGCCGACTACGACGCCGAGCACGACGCCGAGCACGATGCAGACGACGCCGACGCCGACGACGACGCTGAGCACGACGCCGAGCACGATGCCGCCGCCGACCTCGACGACGACAACGACGCCGAACACGACACAGACGCCGACGCCGACGCTGGCGACGACGACGCCGAGCACGACGCCGAGCACGACGCCGAGCACGACGCCGACGGCGCCGACAACGACGCCGGCGCGGGCGCCGACGATGATGATGACGGCGAGCACGACGCCGAGTACGAAACCGACGCCGACAACGACGCCAGCCCCGGCGCCGACGACGACGCTGATGCCGCCGACGACGACGATGCCTGGTGCCGACACCGACACCGACGCCGACGACGACGCTGGCACCGACGCCGACACCGACGCCGACGCCGACGACGACGACGGTGAGCACGACGCCGCCGACGACGACGACGGCGCCTACGCCGACGACGACGCCGAGCACGACGCCCACGCTGACGCCAGCGATGACGACGCCGAGCACGACGACGACGCCGAGCACGACGCCGTCGTCGTCGCCACCCCCCTCCGTCCCCCCTGGATTCCAAACCCGGGGGGGGGACCCTACAAGCGACCACAGAAAGCGTTCTTTCATAGCTTCCCTCTGTGTGGAAGAGAAAGAGTGAGAGAAAGAGAGAGAGAGAGAAAGAGAGAGTGAGAGAGAGAGAGAGAGGGGAAGAAAAAGAGAGAGAGAGAGAGAAGGATAGAGATAGACAGAGGCAGGCGTGGCAATCCCCACGTATGATCAACGCGTGAGGAGGGGTGCAGGAGGATAACGCCGAGCATGACGCCGACAACGATGCCGACGCTGAGGCCGACGCCGACGCCGATGCCGACGACGACAATGACGACGACGACGACGACGATGCCGACGCCGGCGCCGACGTGGCGGTTCCCGCGTAAGAGCATCGCGTGGGGAGGGGTGCAAGGGTGAAGGAGTTCGCCTCATAATATCGGGTAGTGTAGGACTTCTCGATCTGTGCGTGCAACCGACACATAGAGGTCATGAGGCGAAGGAGGAGGAGAAGGAAGAGGAGGAGGAGGAGGAGGCGAAGGAGGAGGAAGAGGAGGAGGATGAGGAGGAGGAGGAGGGGGAGGAGGGGGGGGGAGGGGGGGAAGGAGGATGAGGATGAGGTAAAGGCAAAGGTACAGGCCCGTGGGGGGTCCAGGTCTTCGAGCGTCCCAGCTGGGGCTCCGCGCCTCGAAAAAGGACCCTTAGGGAAGCATATGGATGCGAGCCCCCTGGACTTCGAGGCCAAGGAGCTGCCTAGGGCGTCGGGCCCCCCTCTCGGTGGAGGGTGGCCTCCGTGCCCCTACAGCGGGAGACCCCGCCCACGGGCGCATGAGAGGCACAAAAAGCGGGCAGGGGGCGCTGCCCCCGCTTCTCGGGGGCGGGGCGACCCCTGCTGAAGACCTCGACTCTCCCCCACACTCCACAACTCCACCCACTCACCACTCCCTCCCCCCACCCCCCTCGTCCTCTTCAGGCCAGCGCATCATAATGCACTGCTGCTGCTGTTGCTGCTGCTGAGTGCCCTTCGGCCCCCTGCAGCTGGGCGCAGTGCTGCTTGGTAAGCTGGCGGGCGCCTGATCACCTTGATGCTGCTACTGAATGCCCTTCGGCGCCCTGCAACCGCGTATAACACTGCTTGGCTGTCTGGCGGGCGCAAGCTGGCAGGCTTCTCACGCTTCGACCCCCTCTGTGTTCTGCGTGCTGGTGCTGGGGCCGCCGATGCCGACTCCCCACCCTGCAGCGCGTGCTGCCTCCTGATCGTGCGTTCTAACGTCGCTGTTGCTGGATCGACGCGTCGGGAGCGGCTGCTGCGCCGTGTCCTGCATGGGCGGCTGCTCCTGCAAGGACGGCTTCACGATCTTTGCTCCGTGTGTGGTCCATCCTTTGACCGCTGGACTGGGGAACTTGCGCGGCGGCCTCTGGGGCTGGATGCTGATGATGGTCTCGGCCGCTGCCCCGCCGCCCATAATTGGCGCCCCGTCCTTCGCGACCTCGTCGTAGCCCCAGCCGTGGTCCCTGTGCGTCCACTTGCTGTAGAAGCCCTCCAACTCGTCGCACTGGCACCTCGTGTAGTCCAGCTCCCACGGGAAAGGCCCTTTGTACAGGCGGCTGGCGTCCGTGAGGTAGGCTCCGACCTCCCTGCACTTGTCGATCGCCGCCGTGAGCTCTTCGATCTGCACCTTGAGCAGCACCGTCGCGTGGGCCCGCTCCGCCTCCTCATGGCAGTTGAAACTCTTCGAGGCGCTGATGCGGGCGAGCGTCGTGGCGACGCGGCCCCGCTGGACGTAGAGTTGGTGCTGCGCTGTGTCCGAGTGCTCGAGTAGCTTCGGGGGGAGCGCGCCCGTGCTCTGCAAGGCGCGGTGGGCAATGGCGAGGCGGCTTGCCATTGTCCCGAAGACAGCGTCCGTCACTCCGCTGCCTCTGTCTGCCGCCTTCTGCACCGCGACGTCCTCCCTCTGCTGCGGCGTGTTCTCGCCGCCGTTCTGGTCCTTCAGCGTCTCGGGCGCCGCCGCCGCCTTCTCTGCTGGCTCGCTGTGGCAATCCATCGTACTGTCGCTAGTACAGTCGCTGCTGCGCGTGGAGGGCGAAGGAGAAGCTTTCTGACTGCCGAGAAAAAAAAGGCTGCGGAAAAGGGGGGCGTAGGTGGTTGGACGTCGGACCTTGCTGTCGGGTTGGCCGCCCCCCTTGTTGTTTCCTGTGGGGCAATGCTGGAATCGGAGGTTGTCCCGTCGCACGCCGTCGTCGTTGAGCCCTTATAAAGCCTCCATTGCCTGCAAGACCCGTGACAGCTGGCCTGTTGGGGGAGCCTCTGGTAACCTTGCGTGGCCCCCCTGAATTTCCCCCAGTCGTAGTCGCGAGCGCGATGACTCCCTGTGCCTCGGGGCGTCGTGCGGGCTTCGTAGAGGGGCAATGACCTGTGGAGCCCAAAAGGTGCCTGTACTCGGAGTGGCTGCGACTGCCTGTAGGAGGTTAGGAGAGCCGAGGTGGGGTCGCAGACGCACCGCGGTTGTTGGTGATGAGTACCCTTGATTGGACACCAGCTCCCCCGCATAGTGACACACGGCCTCTACAGTGAAGTTAGAGAGTAGCCCAGTCGCATGTGGCTTCTGCCTGCGGGGGAAGAGGAAGGGTGTGCGAACAAAAAAAGAGTGGATGTAGTGGAGCGTCGGCGGTCCGTCTGTAGTAATGACATGCTGTAATAAGAGACTGGCGTGCCTGTTATTTCTCCATCGTCTGATAATAATCCCTGGACCGTAAGTCTCGGTAGTAGTTGGCGGGCTGGAGTAGTGTGGCCATGTGTCCCCCATGGGCTTGGGCCTGCCCGCGCAACTTAGTGTATCGTTCAAGGTCGCTACTAATGTCTTTGGTGAATTTTTCCTCTCGAGACTCTGGTGGGTCTGCTGGGGGCCAGGAGGTAGTGACCCCGACCCGCTGTTCGCTGGGGTGTTCGCGGGGCCTGAGGCGCTGCCGCGGCGCCTGCGGCTGCTGGGCTGCGAGGCGTGCGGCTGGCACTCTACTGGCTGCGGCGCCGATCGAGCTGGGCCTCCACGACTCACTCGAGGCCCCCCTTCGGGCCCGCTGAGCGGCTCCTCTCGGCGCCCAGGTATGCCTGCGCCAACGCCGCTCGCTGCTTGGATAGGTTCCCCTTGAACCCCATGATCTTGATGGTCTGGCCCTCCTCGATCTGCTGATGGTGGAGCGCCGCGCGAAACGAGGGTGCCGTGTTGATCGAGTAGAGGAGCTTCGCCCTGCGCGTGCCCGTCTCCATGGCCTCGTCGGCGGGTTTGTAGCACTCCTGGACCTTGCGCTGCAGGGAGACCTCGGTGATGAACGCCGCTCCGTACGGCTGCCCCAGCTGCTCCAGGAACTCCGTGAAGCTCTGGAAGACCCACTGCATCGACGGGTCGAGGTCCTGCTTGTTCTTCGGCGCCTTGGTGAGCTCCTCGACTAGCGTCGCCGCCGCGCGGCCGCGAGGTGGTCCGAGTCCGTGTCCCTTGCCCGCCGCCTTTACCTTCCCGCCGTATTCGCGGCCCGTCTCGACCGGCGCCTGGGCCCAATCCTCCAGGAGGGGCACGAGCCAGAACTCGCCTGCGATGTGGCTCAGCGTGCGGAGTTCTGCGGCGTTCTGGAGCGTGAGGCGCTTCAAAGCTCGAATGCTATCTCGTAGGTCTCCATGGGCTCCGTGGCGGTCTCGTCCTCCACCTCCTGGCTTGCCCTGCCCTCCGCCTCCTGTTCCTGCTCCTGCGGCTGCGCCCTGTCCGCCTGTGTTCGCCTGCTTCTGCGGGCGGGCATGGGCCTCCTGCGGAGGCGGGCGCTTGGTGGCGATGACGCGCCAGTCCGCTGGCATCTCTTCGCCGCCGGGTGCTGTGCGCTGCTGCCCCGCTCGCCTCGCGTATCAGATCGGGCCCCGCCAGATGTGTCCGTATGCGTGTGTGGACGGCCTCGAGGTCTTGAACCTGGTGGTTGCAGATAGTGCATGCTAACGTCCTTGGCTCCTGGACGGGGTGGTCCCACTTCGAACGATCCTGGTGACAAATGCCGTGGTAGTGGGCCGATCTAGTAGCATGGTCGATAGCTGTCTTGCGGTCTACAAGCGTACTGTT